CTGTTTGTTTTTGATTTTATTCATGATCACAGATGTCCTTCTTGAAGATAGAATACTATACTTGCTTTTGAAGATAGAGTTATGTTTTCTATTTATGTATCTACTGTTCTTTACTTTTAACTACCGTTATCTGTTACGGTAGAGTCAATTCCTACTCATTGCTACCCTGTGTGATAGGGTAGAACTACTCCATATGTTTTCTTGGCTATAATCTTTATGGAAGCGGATCACCAGGCCTTTTTTCCATGGAGCCAATGGATGGGTTTGAACCACTAACCTTTAGGTTAGTAACCAATCACAAACTGCTTGCGTCACCTGAGGACTTTCTTTTGACTAAGTATAGTTTAAAATATACATTACCAAAAAAGAGAACTATTTTCTGAGTGGACAGTCAGGGGTGGACCAGAAGAGAGTCTCCATCTCTGTACAGTTTGACCCTTACTTCAGTACTGTCACTCCCCCACATCTGGGTGGCATATCTGGATCACTGTCTCAATCCCATTAGCCAAGAACTTGTCTTCACCAAGTACCTCTCCAGCCTGAACTGTGATTCATGTGAAAATCTGTGAGAGTCCATACCCTTTGATGCAGTTTACTGCTCTTGGATTTGAACAAAAATTGGTGGTTAGTTGGTAAATGGGACACAGCTGGCTTTTGATTTAGAGCGCAACTTAAACTGGTTACCTCCTACCTTAACTTGATCATTTAAATGGACGGCACTGTTGCTCCAACAGAGCAGAAATGATATAAAAACTATTTCTGACATGAGTATCTGGACTTTCGAATTGCCTTGACTACTGGTATCTCTGAGGGAAAAATAAGATAAATAAAAACGGAGGCTTTAGGATTCTCAGAAGTGGTAAGCCCTCTTTGCATTACTTAAGTAAAGCTTTAAATGTGCGATGAGTGTTAGGCTAATGACAGTTGGTGCCCAGAACATAACAATAATCCAATGAAATAGAATAGCATTTTGGAAAGTGGCAATTTGTGTAGAAATTGCTGATAGCACCAACCCATGCTGAGAACTTTACATATAAGTGAACTAAAACTTGGGCTGAGGAATTATTCATTTGGTCTTTCATTTGTAAATAAGATATTATTCCTATTTCTTCAAGGAGCATCAAGGATAGTTGTTTAACTGTATTAAATGGGCCATGACCTTTGAGGGATGAGGGCAGAGAGACAGAGAGACATAGCAGATGGATGACTGGAACTGAGGCATCCTGGGTCAGAACCAAGGTTTTAAATGCTAACTACTCTCTCAGGGCCCCGGACATGTTCATGACCATCCTTGACACGCGGGTTTCTTCCTTGGAGGGCATTTCCCTGCTATCTCTGCTACTCTGTCTTTACTAGGCTTATATTTCGTTATGGTGCTAAATACCACCTAACATTGTGTTCTGTATTTACCTGTTTGTTCGCTTGTTTATCTCCCCCACTATAATATGTGATCCGTGAGGGAAGGGTCTCACTCTGTTCTGTGCTTCACTGTATCACCTGTACCCAAAAATAGTGGCTGACCTGTGGCAAGCACTAAAGTGTACCGAAAGAAAGATATGAATTGGGTTAGAATTATTATCAGGTTTAAAATGTTTTATTCTTCGAGCATTAACCAAGTACCCATTTTGTGCCAGACTCCGTGCTAGTGTTTGGAAACAGGAAGGTGAATGAGAATGATGTGTCATCTCTCAGAGTGTAGACCATCATGGAAGAAAAAAGCAAATACACTATCATAGACATTCTATTAAGACCTTCAGGGAGATAATATCCATGCTGAAATCTGAAGAATGAGATGGAGCATAAAAGAGGTGGGAGTACCCTAAAACCCATTACCATCAGGTCAATTGTGACTCATAGCGATCCTATAGGACAGAGAAGAACTGCCCCATAGGGTTTCCAAGGAGCGGCTGGTGGATCCATATATACCCAAGAGACTTGAAAGCAGTGACTCAAACAAACACATGTACACCAGTTTTCACTGTAGCATTATGCACAGGAGCTGAAAGGTGGAAAACAAGTTAAATGTCCATCACCAGATGAATGGATAAACAAAATGTGGTATATTCGTATAATGGATTATATTGCCATAAAGAGAAGCAAAGTCCTGATACATGCTATAACATAGTTGAAGCTTGAGAACAGTATGCTGAGTAAAACAAGTCAGCCACAAAAGGACAAATACTGTATGATCCCACTTCAGTATCTAGAATAGGCAATGGTATAGAGACCAAAGTTTATTAGTGGTTACCAGAGATGGGAGGGATGGGGGAAAGGGGAGTCATTGCTTAGAAAGTCCTGAGTTCTGTTATTGGTAATGAAAAATTTGGCAGTGGATACTGGTAAAGGTGGCCCATGATTCATGCAATTGGTGTCACTGAATTGGCAAACGTTGTGTTATATATATTTTTGCCACACTTAAAAAAAAAAAGGTGAAAGCTAGGTTGGGGGAACACTCTGAACAGAAGGAATGGCAGAAAGCCCCAAAAGAGCCTGTTTCAGGTCCTGAAAGCACTTCAGTGTGACTCAGGAGTAGACTGTGCAGGGCAGAGGGCAAGACCTGAGACTGGAGAAGGACGTAGGGGCCAGGCCATCAAGGGTCTGGAAAACTGTCCCCAGGAGTCAGGACTTTATTGTCTGCGTAGTGTGATGCCACTGAAGGATTTTAAATCAATGTGATTTTTAGTATCTGAATTCATTTACTGCTGTCACCCGAATAAGTTGGCAGTATTTCCATTTTATAGGTGGGACAGCTGAGGCCCAGCATAACACACTTTAAAACTTCACTGGAGTTGATTTAATTTTTCCAGTTGTAATATTGCCAGGGCTCCTAACTCCTGCCCTTCTTCCACCTTCCCTCCTTCTTCCTTCTGATTGTTATTCTTGTCAACACTAAAACATCAGACTAGCCACCACCCTTATCTTTCTCTGTGGAACATACATACACTTACACAACTTCCAGAAACCCTTGCCCTGAGCAGAAGCCAGTTGTCTCAAGGGTAGTGGGACATGTACTTGGATGGGCATCATGTTATGTCATCATCCTTGTGTGCCGTCGAGTCGATTACGACTCATAGTGACCCTGTAGGACAGAGTAGCACTGCCCTGTAGGGTTTCCAAGGCAGTAATGCTTACGGAAGCAGACTGCCACATCTTTCTCCCTCAGAGCTACTGGTGGGTTTGAACCATCAGCCTTTGGGTTAGCAGCTGAACACTTAACCACTGTACCACCAGGGCTCCTTCACCATGTGTGCAGTTGGCTGGAATTCTCCGTTCTTATTGACAAGGACCCTGGATTCGTACTAGGTACTTCTATCTGAAAACTTCTATCAGGAGCACAGAGCCGACTTGACAAAGTAGAGAGGAGCTCAACGCTGGTCTGCCTACGCTTTGGGCATGCGTGAACACTCACAGCAAAACACAGCTGGCACATCTAATTTTAGCCTTGCCCGCCTTGAAAAGGGACCCTTTAAGGAAATATATTTTCTCTGAAACAATTTGTATTCTAATGTAGCAGCTGATAGACATGTCAGAATATTACTTATTATTGGTGGGGAACAAAACTGCCAAGTAATTATGATGTTTGTTCTTTTTTTTTTTTTTTTTTTAGATTTTGAGATGATACCAGTAAAACGATTAAAATACCCATGAATTAAAATAATCATAAAGGGATTTACATAGGGAGAAGCTTAGCGATTTTATTTATAAAGAAGCTAACAAACCTAAGGGGGTCACCTCGTTTGATTTTTACAAAATGAATGCAATGATGAGAATTATTATTTCTGATGTGCTAAGTGGATCTTTGCTAACTGATGCTGCATAGCTTGTTAATAGTCCTCCTGGAGTGGACTCGAAAATTTCTTCAATACTTAGCATCCTCCCCGTCCTCCAGGAAGTGAAACGTTAGTTTCCAAACCAAGTCCTTGGATTCATCCGGCTTTAGTGTGTTAACAGGCTCTGAAGGCATTCGGGACACTCTTTTTCCATTTTAAGCAGCAAGGTTAGTCTCTCTGCCTTTATTTATTTATTTTTTCTCCTTCCTTTCTTCCTCCTCTCTTCCCTCCCATAGTCTTCTGTGTTTTGTTTAGCCTTGTGGCTTACCTTGGGACTTGGCAAGAAAAGAAAAGAAGGCAGGTCTTGTGTGGGGTAGATGGAGGGAGGGTTGGGGAATAATCCACCGCCTGCATTCGGGTTCCCCAGGTTCAGTTCCAACGACAGCAGCGTTGCTGCAAAAATCACTTTGCTATTCGAGATAGCCAGCAGAGGGAATCGGAACTTTGCTTGCAGCAGGGGTTGAAGCCGCTTTTTTTTTTCTTGGAGGAAATACTGCAGCCTTCTGGACTGCGTACGCCACTCCCTGGAGAGGCTCTCTTGGTTCCACCCACCGGCTGGAAGGAGGGGAAGTGAATGAAAGGACAGGACAAGCCCCGAACACCATGTCACTCTGGGAGGGAGACAGCAGCAACTAAGCTGTGCAAGGTTTTTTTTTTTTTTTTTTCCTTTTTTTTCTTTTTCCTTTTCCCCTTTCTTTTTCTTTTTTTTCTTTCCTTTCCTCCTTTCTCTCTTTTTCTTTTTTTCTTCCTTTTTTTTTCTTTTTCTTTAAGGTGGGGAAAGAGAAACGGGAGACAGGAAGCTGAGCTGCAAGGATTCGGAGTTGTGCTAAAAGGACTTTGATTTTTTTTTTCCCCTTTTACAAACGCTGGCAATTGACATCACTACAGGCAGCCTGGTTAGAGAACAAACTGCTTCAGCCCAAGTGGACCCCAGCAGCCGGGAGAAGAAGCCAGGAAGATTTGGGACGTCAGCGTGTGGGTCTCTTTTTTGCCTACTGATCCCACCCCCACCTTTTTTTTTTTCTTTTTGGTGTGTTTCTTTTTTAAATTCTTGCTGTGTTGGAAGTAGCGAGTGGTGGAAGACCGAGGAGTCTACGAAGCCTCATCAGTCATCGGGACTGTCAGGAATAGTGGTTTAAGAGGAAGCCCGGCCTGGGGCACTATCCCTGTCATCCAGTTCCCTGCCTCGGAGATAAAGATTCCAGCTACATGGGCAAACGCCTGGATCAGCCACAAATGTACCCCCAGTACACTTACTACTATCCTCATTATCTCCAAACCAAGGTATGGCTCGACCCACAGTCTGGCAGGCAGTGTGGTATCGTCTGCACTCGGATGGGAAACATAGACAGGCGTGTGAATTATTATTTCATCCCTCCCCCCATCCCCTCTCCCTGCCTCTTTGAAATTAGTAACATACCAGTGGAGTTAATGAGGCAGAGGAGGATAGCAGAAGAAAGCAGCAAACCCGGAGTTGTGGCTTTCTCTTTAAGGGGAGATAATAGTTTTCGCTCTCATTCCTTTGTTGTTATTTGGCAGAATAAATGTTCCGGCTATCCCTAAAGTCCTTTGCAGATAGGCAAGGTTGTTAGAAAGGAGATCACAACAGTGATTATCAGGCAACAGAATACAATTTCAGGGGCTTTTCTGGTGAGCTGTTCTTTGTTTGTGCCTCTCTAAGGGTTTTTCCCACTGGCTCCGACGTGCCAGGGTGGGGGCGACTCAAACTTTTGATCGCTGAGTATAGCGTGAAAGAAGGGTGTGGGAAGGCATAGGGGCGCTAACCAAAGTCTCTTAGAGTTTGTTTGGGTGCGTTTTTATTTTCGATTTGCCTTGTATCTTTAATTTTCTGTTTATGATGATCAGCGTCCTAGAGACTGAATTGAGGGGCTTTGCAATAGACATTACTTTTAGAGGCTCTATTTTTCTGTGTTCTCTGCCATCCGGAGGCCTGGGTTTTGCAAAGGGAAGGAATGTAACGGATGGTAATTGGCCTTGAATTGGTTAAATACTTCGGGCTTTCTGTGTCTCAGCTCAGATGGTCATTGGGGCTCAGAGGCAAGCCCACATAACTAAAGCAGTGGGCAGTGCTAACCCTGAACTTCATCCTGCAGTTAAGACACTGAAAGATTCTCAGGTGTGAAATCATGGCTCCAATTTGTCAATTCAGTTGGACTTTATTTGGGGTGGGGGGTGGGGGGCGGTGTTGGTAGAGTTACCACCCTGAGTGCATGGATTGTATTTCTTTACAGATGATATTACTTTGTATTGCATTAGCCAGACTCCGCTGTCTTCTTAAGAAATAAATATGCCGAGAGTGAAGCAGGCGTGCCAGAGTGATCTGTTCTGTCACCAGGACTCTGATATGATTAGGATTTGGTAATTCATGCTGTAGTTATCTCTCATTTATTCTGTCTCATCAGACAATGCCTGTTTGTAAACCAGCGGGCAGCAGACTTTCAGTATTATATTCAAAGACAGTTGCTTTTATTTTTTTCCTTTTTCAATTGCTGGATGATCCGCCTTGCCCCTCCAAGGTCGACTCACATTGCTTTTTGCCTTTGTGAGCATTTAGTTTGTGCTGCTGCTGCTTCAATAGACCCGCCCTCAGGTTCCAATGCCGTGAGTTTTAACTCTTTGGGGGATTGGGTAGAGAAGATTGCCTGCTGTTCCTCAAAGAAATGGCAAAGCAAGGACAAGATAAAAAGGGCAAAATTTATAGTCCTTTCTCATCCCCCAAAAGAAACGAAAACAATAACCCCAAGGGTTGGAGGAAAAATATTGGACATTCCATCCTTTTTACTCATTTGCCTAAATTTTTCCAAATGTTTCCAGTATCACACTTTCTGTTGGGTACTTGTTTTCTATGGTGGAGTATATTTGGAAAGGAAACTTTAGCTCAATATGAATGAAATAATTGCTTTTCTGCATGAGATTTTTTTTAACCTATCACAAGCAGGAAATAATGAATGCTGTGCAGATTACATTAAAGACACAGGGATGCGTGCACTGGTGGAAAAAGTGTGTGTGTGTGTGTGTGTGTGTTACGGGGTAAAGAGGAAGAGCGGTGTGGTGAGGGAAAAGAGAAGAACCTGAAAATAATGGAGAACAATATTTTTTTTTATCTGTTTGGGGTCCTGTATAGTTTAGTGTTGTGTAGACAGGCAGCATCTGGATCTTGTTACTTACAAACTAGCAAAGCCATCAACTTCTGGGACATTTTTAAACAAGTTAGACCCATTAGGCATCTTAAGCTGCTATTTGGGTAATCAGATATCAGGGTGGTAGAGCATATAAGATCTGCTATTTTGGCTGTCATGGTAGTTTGTATCGATTATCATGTTGTAAAATTTTGACAGTGCTGTGAAGTTGTCAAATAGTGTTATGGCGACTCTGAAATGACAGACGTTGAAAACATTCCTGGAAGCTGAAGATATGAAAACGTGCCCGTTTTTGAAACTTGGGTCCAGAAGGGATGGGAGCAAGGGTCAATATGCAATAGTATTTTCAGTGTAAGGACTTTCTGACAGGTTTAGTAATATGTAATAAAGTACTATAATGTCCTAATATAACAGGAAAACAATGGGTGTATGTCAATATCACTTTTCACCCCTTGTACGCTTGTTTCTCTAATATAATTTATAATAATTTGGAAGTAAATGCATGCTGCTTATATTTATTTGGTAAGGCTAGGTGGAATCCATAAAATCCACTGTTCTTTTAAGCCTTGCTTGCAGTTGTAAGCAACTTATCCAAGCTATTTAAAATGATGCCAATAGATAAAGAATTCATGTAGTTGATAAAAATAGAATTCTATGATTTGTAACAAAAATCATATTCTGGTGATATCATACCTTAAATTGTTGTATAAACTCAGGTGTTCCCCCACCCCATCCATAGGAGCTATTTTCTAACATTAGATTTTGGGAGAAAATGTTCACGGGCCTTTAAAGAACTGAAAATGTTATTATTGCATTCCTTCAGAAAATGCAAAGTACTGAACTTTCTGTTTCTACTTAAATATGAGTATTGTTAGATACATCTGCTATTTTCTTATGATAAAACAAAATGAAAATAGAAATTAAAAAAAAAAAAGATAAATATTTTCTATTCCCTCAAATGCATATGAAAGTTTTCGAGAAACTTGTGCGGCTTCATGTCTCTGTTGCTGTAGGTTTTCAGTCTTTTAGATCCAATCTCTTTGCTGCTTTAAAAAAGAAAGACTATATTTATGTTTCTTGCCCCCGCATACTTTCACGGGTGTTTAACGTGAGTTATCGTATTAGAAAAATGTATTTGTAAGTTAAAAAATAAAAAAGATGAAACTAGGAAGATCCTCACTTGAAACTATACTTTGTACCAATGTTGTCACAGCCTGCTCCCCTCCCAGACTTTACATCTTAAAAGTCATCATTTTCTTTCTTTTTCACCTATTTTTTTTCTCCCCAAAGAAGCATTTTCAAGAAGGAACATTGCTTTTGGTTATGGAGTAATGAAAAATCTTAGTGGCATATCATAATATTTAAATAAGAGATGTGACTGGATTAAAAGTAAGAAGAAAAAAGGTTTTATCAAAGCAAATTTGATGTTAGAAAGGCCACCCAGCATACCCAGCAAATTTTAGAGAGAGAACAACAATAAAAAAGGGTTCATTTGACCTAGGAATAAAATATATAATGATGTTCGACTGGACTACAACCTACATTTTTTAAATATTTTGTTACAGTCTCTTCAGTACAATATATTACTATGGCATTATGGGCCTCAAGGTGAATTTCTTTCTGAACTTGAGGTACTTTATTGCGGGGTGGGGGCTGGTTCTTGGGAAAACAAATTAGTTGAACTAGGAGAGCGAAAATGGATAAAACATGGTCACAGCCTTCTGAGTTGACATTTTGCACTTGAGAAATAGCTATTCCTCTCATATGTGATATTTGGAAAGTTTTAGTCATCTTCATAAAGCTTAAGCACACACAGTTAAATTTGTCCTTTCTTCCTTTGCCACATTCTTACCAGTTTACTACAATTTTACTCTTACCCATTTACTCTGTTTTAACCAATAAACCAGGGCACAGTTTCTAATCACATTACTCTTACATGTGCTTACTGCATTCCCTTCTTTGGCCATCTGGTTCCCCAGAAGGTCTAGAAGAAAGGGTTCAAACGATGGGATTTTGACAGGGCTTCTCTGGCTGGTGGTACTCAGATTTTGTTCGGTGCCTGGTGTGAAGCAGGGGTCAGGTGTAAGGACTAATTTATCAAACGCACTCTGATTTCAGACTGAATTTCCAACCATCTGCAGCCTGGACTGCCGCCCATCTCTAAAAGTCTAGCTGGGGCCCAATTGATTGTACCATAGAAAGCGCAAACACTTAAAAACACAAGGGCTGAGGACTAGGCAAAGAGAGAGGCTCCTATGGGGTGAAGCGTATCCTTAAAGATGTGAATATACAGAGCCTCCAACAACAAAACAAAACAGCGCCTTAACACGCTTCTTACACAAGAAAATGCAGAAAATCTTGCAGAGGGAGGGAACGCGTTTAGAATTTCCTTAGTACTTCCTGACTCAGATTTGCGTTGATAGCCAGAGTTGCTAACTTGCCAGCTGTTTGAAAACAGCCTTGAAAACTCCCAAGTTCTGTTTTCCTTTGAAAGCCTGAAACATACAAAACTGGTTTTCTAAAAATCTTCCAGCAATAGAATTTTTAGGTACAACTCAAAATATTTCTTTCACTTCAAGGGGGGTAATATGAGAACATGAAACTATGATAAGTTTTGTTGGTCTCATTTTTGAACGTATAGACCTTTAATTGGTTTTAAATAAGAGAAAAATAGACACAAGGGGCCACCCTCTCTTTTTACTTTATTTATTTTTCTTGCTTACTCCCTCCAATCTTTATTATCAGTGGAATGGTACACAGTTCTAAGGCGTAGTTTGCATTCTTTCTTATAATGTAATCATATTTTAACAACAGTAAATGTAGTGCCTACTTAAAAGAAGTAGAACTGTAAAAAGTCCATGTTATTTTTCCAGAAGAATTCCAAGCCTATGGGAAACACCATGTATATTTCTTTTAACGGGATCTTTCTAAGCATTTTCCTTTTATATTCTCTCACTTTGGAGAAGAAAAAATAACAAGATTATAACTCAAAATTATTCCCATAAAGTCATAAAATCTATTTGAGTGTTGGGGGTGGGAGTGATTCCCAGGGAGGGACTCAAGGAAGGAGAAGGGAGGATGCGAGTTCATTCCAGGTCTTTCTGGCTCCAGGAATTCTGGAAA